CCCTGGCCCCAAAGTCCACCTTCAGCATTCCCTGGGGACCTTGCCACTCCATTCCCTTGCTGTTCCACTGCCCCGTATGGAATGTTCTAAGAGCTCTAAGAGCCCCCAATATAATGATTTAAAATAATAACTTTGGGGAGGGGGAAAATGAGGAGCTGATATCAAGGGCTCAAGTAGAAAGAAAATGTTTTGAATATGTCAACATATGTACAAACGTGCTTGACACAATGGATGTATATATGGATCTTGATAAGAGCTGTACGAGCCCCCAATAAAATTTTTTAAAAAATGACTGCCACATTACAAACCCTGTATTTTTCATTATTTTATCATCATCTTGTAGTCATAATGAGGGTAAATAAAAAATACGATTACAAAACCATCAAAGAAGAAAAGAACATCCATTGCAGAGCAGGTTCAAAGTCTGAAAAGGCAGACCATCTGACAGATTACCCAACCAGCAAGAGAATTAAGTTGAGGTTTTCTCCAATATTAAAAACAAGTGACACAAAGATATCTACCTATAAATTATGTATAAACAAACCAAACATCAAGGAGCCCTAGAACAGTGAAGCGAATTTAGGAAGATGTTACTCTGGACTAGGAAAAAGATCGGCTGGGTTGGTAAGTTGTGAATGAAACACAATCCTGAGAAATACATGGAATCACCTTACACAAAACTAATGCATATAATAGAAAAAGCTGACGTGTTGGAATTGGGGATGTGAAAGACAGTGCTCTGTTCAATCATCCTTGAGCTGCTGGCAGGACCTGTGTACGCAGTCATATTCTGTGGAAGTAGAAATGTGGGACTGAAAAAAGAACCAGTAAGATCTCAACTGTTTGGTATCACTCGTCCAAAAGCAATCAACTATGGTTTTGGCCAAAATGATAGTCTACAATAGTTAGAGACCATTTGGGATGCATTAACTGTAATGAAACATGTCCCCAAACACCTGGGGCCTTTCCTCCATCTGCTCATCACTATTCTTTTTTAACTATTTTCTGTCGTTTTTTATTAGTTCCACTCTGTTAGCAGTCCATTTTAGAATTTAACATACTCAACACTTCTGGGCATATTCAATGTGCTGCTGTTCTCAGATATTTATCTTCTAAAACATTGCAAATGTCAACTAGTACGTCTCCAAGTTGAAAAACATATTTTGTAAATACTAACCCAACTCTAAACCCAGCCAACCAGAAAGTGCAAGTACAAGTTTTTCATGATACAATGCCATGACGAGGAGTTACCCCCAAAAAAATACCAGAATTTTTTTTCAAAGCTATGTATTTAAATTTTTTTGTAAAACCACCTTATGATCTTCAAAGTATTTTCCATTACACTTCATATATTTGTCAAGTCTGATTCCATTCTTGGGAACATTTTTCAAACTCATCTGTTTGGATAACTGACAGCACCTCCCTCGGGTTTTTTTCTTCACCTCCTCTACATCACCAAATCTCTGTCCTATCATGTCCCTTTGCATTCGTGAATAAAAACAAGTCGCAGAGTGAGTTCAGGTAAGGTGTGTGGGGCAAGAGAGGCATGCTATTTTTTGCCAAAAAGTGGCGCAGAGATGGCAGTGTGAACAGATGCATTGTGGTGGCAAAACCAGTCCCCTCTGCCACAAATCATGCCTTTTTTTGGTCATACACTGTTATGCAATCTTTTCAGAACATCTAAATAGAAAACTTAACAGTCTGACCTGGTGGAATGAACTCCAAATGCACTAGAAGTCGACATTTTCATCCTTTTGGGAAGTTCACGGACATCCAGAATGAGGTGTGTCATCTGTCAACATTTCACCTTTTTTTGAACGAGAAATGAGTGGTGACTCATGCCCTTGTTTCCCCGTAGCGCTGTCCTTGTAAGCTGTGTTCATCACACGTTTCCGTGGCATTTTTGAGTAGAAAGAACTTCACAGCCACGCATTGTTCTCTTAAATTGGCCATCACAAAATTGAATGAAACTTTTACCAAAAAATTTACTGTGACCAGGGAGAATCTTCCCAAGTGACCCCATCGGGTGCCCTTCCTCCCACCCACCTTCTCAGAACTCCGTATTAGAAGACCCAGTAACCTTCAGTGTTTTGTTGTGGGTAATTGTCTTGTTACAGCACACATTGTGGCAATTCCCCATGTGAGGTTCGACAATGGTTCTGCTCCTGTACCACCTTCCTAGCTCTATACCCACATCATTTCTCGAGTACTGATTTAGGATTCCTTTAGTTAATGCTACCCATTCAACCTTAATCTTTAAGAGTGCAATACTCGTCTCAATAGATTCTGTAAGAAATCTGCAATTCTGCTGCACTTCTCCTGTTTCAGTCAGGACTCACCTATGGAGCCCTTGAGCATACACTAGTGATGGCCAAGCAGCTCCCAGTCCTGGTGTCTCAGCACAGGAGGCAGTCGTCCAGGGAAGCACCAGGGCTTTCCGGCCCTTCCTTCTGACTTCCTACGTCTCTTTCCCTGGGGGCTCCAGGCAGAGACCACTTATATCTTGGATGGCTCTAACTAGCTGCAGAATTGGGTGAGTAGGTCAGGAATTCGAACAGTTTCATGAGACCATGAGCCTAACCCTTTAAACTAAGTGAATCCCATGAGGCATTTGGTTGTACCCAAGTATGTTAGCAACTGCAATTTGCTTGTTGTCCCTACCATTATGAAATTATAACATATTTGTCATTTTTCTGGTGTAAAACAATGTCACATTGTGTAGCCATTACTGTTGATACAATTTCACCATCACAAACTTATTTTCTAAACAATGATCCCTTCTCCCTGCACCTCCTTGTTGTAGAAAAGTGCTAAAACATTGCTTGTCCCTTTGTGACTGACTTAATTCACTCCGTGGGTCTTCAAGTGCATCCATGTACCAGGACTTCATTTTTTTGGATGGCGGAGTAGTACTCCACTCGATGTATGTACATTTTGTTTTATCCATCCATTCACTCACCACTGGGCATTTAGACTGTGCTATTAAGAATAGTGCTGTGAATATAATTCTACAAAGACTTTATTGACAACCAAACCGAAACCACTCATTGCCATCAAGTTGATGCTGACTCATAGGAACCCTATAGGAGAGGATATAAACTGCCCCTGTGAATTTCTGCGACTCTATAGGAGTATAAAGCCCAGTGTTTCTCCCATGGAGTGACTGGTAGTTTTGAACACCTGGCCTTGAGGTTAGCATCCCAACAGGTAACCACTATGCCATGAGGGCTCCTATATCACCACTCACTCTCTTCAGGATAATCTTGATCTTTTCCTAAGTGAGAGACTAGAGAATAAGGAAATTACATTTTCACTTAGCACCAAATAGTAGATAACTTTTTATTAAGCATATTTTAAGAATTTCTGAGAGAACAGGGAAACCACAGACCAGGTTTAAGGATATCTAAAATTTAAATAGTAAATCTTTCACACAAAATGTCCTTCCACGAATGATAAAAAGTTATGTTGAATGTCCTACAGGAGATAAATTGGAAAATGAGGGGAGGGGCTAAAAGGATGAGGTGTAAATCCAATTCAAATTACATTAAAATCCCAATATAAACAAAAGTGAAATTTTCTTAAAAGAAAGTGAATTTTCACTACCTCCTCCCTCCCCAGAGGTAGAAATCTATATGGACTGATATAATCTTTCACTTTATGTATTTTTAAAAAAATAAATTTCAAGTTGACAAAATAACCATCTACATTTTCAGGTTTACATAGATAGAAATATATAATCCTAATTACACAGACAGGTTGACTAGAGGAAATAAGTTAGCACAATCATTTGGATTGGTTGTCTACACACCGGGCAGGGCTTGTTTCTTTTTTTCAGTTTCTTTGCACATGTAAAGCAAGCCATTAAATGTCCTGTTTTGCCGTGGACGATGCAACCATTTTTAGGGCGATCTTGGCAAATCACACAAGGTTCAGTGGCAATAGAGCGAGATCTGGATTCCATACTTTCTTCTTTGTCTTGTGCTTCTTCCCTATTAAGCTCTTGTACATCTTGGCTGCTGTAAATGATGCTACTAGAAGTGGATGGCTGGGAATAGTCCTCACTCTCCTGAGACTGGGAGGCTTGTGTTACAGTATCATCATTTTCTTCAACATGTGACTCTTCGGGGTCACTCACAGCTGTTTTTTTACAATCCGGAACATCGAAACCCTCTTCTACTTGAGTTGTGTTTTCTAGTTTGGGACTCTCAAGCATTTTCTCTTCATCTTTCCCTTTATCTTCAGGAAGCCAGTTCTCACGAAGTACCCAACATCTGTTACAATGCGGTGGGAGTGGAGGATTCATTTCATTACATGAAGTACACTTCCAATAGTCCTGCAACGAAAAGAAAGTTAATTTCTGTAATCCTTTAGTAACTGGTCACGGCAATGTTAAAGCATTTTTAGCCTTTATATAAAACATTCAAATCTGAAATTTTTAAGTACATATTATTTTTCCAGCCATACCATACTAGAAAACCCTAAAACGAAAACTGTACTCACTATTTTTGTACTAAAAATGCTATTCCGTTCTATTAAAAATATACTATTATCAACCACAATTGTAAAGTTCTCTCTTCAGGGACATAGACAACAAACATAGCTATCTGTTTATTCCATTCGGTATAAAGCTTTACCCATTCTAAGAGTCTGAACTTGGGCTCTCCTAGAGTCCGCCCAATCTAAAGAAAACATCCCTCCTAGAGAAAGACCAAAACGTCCATGCCCCATTAGTGGGGTGGCCTAAATGTGCTTGGAAGCCAGATCTGAACTGGGTTTTCCTAAGTCCATCCACAAAGGAACTTTTATTCTTCTCAGCAATCTTTACCAGCTAAATGGTTCATCCTTGTTGCATTTCTCTTATTTGTATCCTTTTCTGTGTTATCTCTGTAACTATTCCATGGATCTCCCCTACCTCACGTTCTCTCCCAAACCTTTTCATCATGAAATTTGGATAATGAACTCCCCATATCACCAGCCTCTTCATAGCCTGTAACTGAAGCGTGGCTCTATGTTGCACATAGAATATCTGCCGTAAGATGGCCTTCTGGACGAAAGTCTGACAAGTGAGTGACAATAAGGGCGGAGACTCTGTTCGCCCACACTGGTGCTCAATGTTGTCAAAATAGGTTTCTACTAACTGATAAAACCAAACACAATGATTTTGCATTATAAGGAAAAACAATGATTACAAATGCCCATTTGCAATATTTAAGTCTGAAACATTTCTCACTCGACTTGATTGGGTCAGCTAATTACTTGAACAGCTACTTTTTAACAGCAAAAATTTGTGACTTGCTATTTATTTTTTTGCATTTAGTTAATTAATATGTATTTCCAACTCAAGAAACGGGTCTTATTTCCTATTCAAATATATTAAAGGGTAACAAGAGGCAGCATCATTAAGAACAAAAATAATAATTAAAAAAAAAAAAAGCACTTCCAATACAATACCTTAGGACCCCAAGGGAACATGAGGTGCAAACACTAAAGTATGACTCTTTACTGGACTAAAACCCTAACCTCATTCTTAGTACAAGTTAGTGTTGAGCACACTTATGCTCAACAAGATGGGCAAACGGTTAAGGCTTATCAGTACAATGAAAGTACTCTGTTGTGCACACTTGCAATGTCTAACGTAAAATTTCTTTAAAAGCTCAAATTCTAAGACTTTAAAATAAAGAATAATGTTTTTGGTCTATTTTAACTTTATAAAAATTCCCTCATTTCAGCTTATAGACATTATTTTTCTAATCCTGACCTCAGACATGGTGTCAAGGAGTACGAGGAGGAAGAAAATGTTCTGAAAATAATTGTGGTAGCAACTGTGTAACACTCCTTGTTATGGCTGAGCTATTGAATGGTATGATGTCTGAATTATGTCCTAATAAAATGGCTTGAAAAACCAGCAACAAAAAATGTTGAAGTATACTTACACCTAGGGAGATTTCAGGATCATCTTCAAATGAATCTGTATCGCTTTCCTCAGCCTGATAGACAGTAACACGATATATCTAATAAGATAAAATTCATTAGCAACATTCAACACTATTTTTTCCCTCAACAGGAAAGGCTTCTTAAGTGGTAAGCCCTAAATAAATTGTCTACTCCTATAGATGAGAAATCCTGAGACAAGGGTCAAATGGACTAACTGTAAAAAGGGAGACCCGGAGGAGAGGGAAATCCTTACCCACCATGGTAAAAAGTCAAGAGACAGATGGCTTAAAATGCAGACAGCAAAAAACTCAGTACAAGTAACTTTGTTTTATGAAAATGGAAGCATTAAATAGCAGTGAAAACAGTTGGATATACTGAAGACAATCACCACCTCCAGAAAACAGAGCTGGGGTACCAAGTGACTTTAACTGTGTGTATGTTTGCATCCATAAAAAGCAATTCCTTCAAAGCAGAGAGGGGCTTGAAGTAATGAATGAAAAAGAGGAAACAGGCCATTACAAGGAAGTTTTATCAAGATCTACTCTGACTCCTTAGCATTAGTTATGAGAATATAAACCAGACAACAAAGAACTGCAAAAACCTCAAGTACAACCAATGATCTAGTTTAAACAAATTAAAAGACAAGGATTTCAAGTGAAACCTAAATATAAGAATCAAAGTTAATGAAGGTGAAAAATCTTTTAACAATTTTCTAACATAATTAGTTGAAAAAATATACCTCTTCATCATCATCTGAGAGTTCTTGTCCTTCTTCACTAAGGTTATAATCTTCGGAATCAAGAGATTCAACTTCAAATTCTACACTGAATTGATCTGAAACAGAATCCTGGTCCAACCAATCACCAGAATGTTCACTTACACCAGTGTCAGCATCCTAAAAGGAGAAACAAAAGTGACCTCATATAATTACCTCTTGACCTCCACAATAGTTCCCAATGCATCCCTGAGCCTCTGTTTCCTTCTCCAATCCAACCAACACTAGAGTAATAAGATTCTGGGTTATCACTACAGGAGGGAGCTTCAAACATTTCATTGAAAAATAGAGCTGAGAGAGCATGTAACTTCCCCACAAACTTCTTGAGGTACTCTTACATTAATATTTGGTTCTTCAAACCCATTACACAAAAGGACAAAGTACCTTGGTGCTCGAAGTTTATACAATATGCCAATATTAACATTTTCAGGTTTATCTACAACTGGATACATAGCCTCTAGGAAATGTGCACAATCCAGCTGGATCTAACTTGTTTCATAAACCAATCTTGGCATTTCAGCCTCCACTCTTCTTCCCTAACTGTATTAACTAGAAAGCTTCCAATTCCTACTCATC